GAGAAGAGAATGTGAACAAAGTGTGCAAGCCTTAAAAATCTCTATATGGATTAAAGCAAACCCCAAGGGCTTGGTTTGAAGGACTTACATGTGCTATTAAGAGTTTTGGTTATAAACACTATTAAGCTGAACACACTATTTATTAAACTCAATGGCTCAAAATTCATTATGTTGATTGTTTATGCAAACGATACAGTGTTAGCAGAAGATGACACTGAGGAGATTGCAAGGCTAAAGGAGAAACTAGCCAAGGAATTTGAAATGAAAGACTTAAGGAGTTTAAAACACTTCCTTGGGATAGAGAGAGCTCGATCATCTAAAGGATTGAGTGCCTCAAAGAAAATATACCTTAGATCAACTTAAGGAGACAAGTATGCTAGGGGCTAGACCTGCAAATACCCCTATGGAACTTAACTATAAGTTAGAAGTAAAACTAAAAGGAAAATCTATCAATAAAGACAATTTGGAACTTAACTGTAAGTTGATTTATCAAGATCTCACCCTACACCTGACATATCCTAAGTAGTGGAAGATGCAAGTCAATTTGGAAGTAACCCTTAAAAGGAGCACATGGAAGCTATATATCGTATCCTTAGATACCTTAAGACCACTCTAAGAAGGGGTCTATTTTTCTCTAAGGGAAATCAAAAGAAGATTAAAGTATAATCGATTCAAAGAAACCAAAAGGTGTATAAGCATATACAAATGCTTATTAGGCAACAACTATTGATAATAGATGCTCTACCACACAATATTGTGCTTTTGTTTGGGGAAATATTGTAACGTAGAGGAGCAAGAAGCAACCAATTGTATCTAGAAGAATACAGAATCTAAATATAAAGCATTGGCACTCGAAATCTATGAAGGAAAATGGATTGTGCACTTATTGAAAGAACTTGGGATCTCTAATCAAGATGTTGAGTGACAAGATGGTTGCACTCACGATTGCCAACAATCCTGTCCAGCATGACGACACTAAGCATGTTGAGATTGATCGACATTTTATCAAAGGGAAAAATGAAGCCAAGATGATAGACTTATCCTACATTCCTTATAGGAAGCAAGTGGTTGATGTTATGACTAAACATGTAGAATTATAAGCAAGCTAAGAATGATAAATATCTATTCACCAAACATGAGGGGAAGTGTTGGAAGGGGTCTTGTATTAGCTAGGCCTATTTACCTTGTAACCCTAACCCTAGTATCTTTATTTTATCTATGTTTTAGTGTCTATAATATTCTGTAATTATTTAAAATAATCACAGAATATCTCTCTTTAATTTTCTTGATTATTTTGTTATTAATTGAGGGAGGATTTTTTAGGATTTCATTCGCTCTTGTTCTCCCATAGGTATCAACATCTTTGAAAGAATAAGAAATTAGAATCTACACAACAATATTCTTTCTATATTCTCACTACTAATGAAAGTTCTAACTTTTGGAACTTTCTTGAATGGTTTTCACCACTATCTCAATGGCGCAATAAACTTTATCAGGTCATTGAAAACTTTGGCTTATGGAAGTTACCATTAAACAAACAAAAGGTTTACTCCTTCATTATCCACTATCCCTACAATTTGGATAGAAAGGGGAATCTCTATGTTGCCAATCAGACCTACTTATGGAAATCCTCTCCTAATTGGTCATCACATAAAAAGGAAGTCTCCTATGAATTAAAAGATTTTTTATGTGATTTAAACAACTTTACGAGCATAGATCCTAATCTTAAATGTACTTCACTTGGTCCTATTCAGTTTCAGCTTGTCGTCCTTGAAGATCTTCTAACTCAAGCAATTTGACTACCAAAATGGATTGTTAATATTACTATGAAGAAGGGATATTCCACATGGATGGAATGAGCTTCCATTACTTATGAGGCTCAACTATCTCAAAGCCAAGATCCACATGAAACCCTTCCTCCAAAAGTCAAGATCCTTATGAAATAAAGTCCCAATTCCATCAGCAATTTCCTAAAGCAAAAGAATCTTTTGATCATGGACAGTCTGAGGAGCAAGAAGACAAAGAAGCATAATGGATAAAAGACACCTTAGCAAGGCACTTTAGGAAAGAAAAAAACTAGTATTCGAACTTGACATCTAACCAAAGGTGCATCCACAAGCATATGATCCTTCGTCACGCATGAGAATATGCTTTTACTTTTGTCAATTCTTTCTTTAACTTTTAATCAGTCATCTTTAGAAAAATAGCTTTGTTCTTTTGTGCTTTTAGCCTTTTCCTAAAGAAGCTTTACTTTAGTTGAAATCAGCTTCAATAAAAGTTTCTTTCATTTTCACTCTTAATTTTTACCTTTGCTTTTAGCCAAATCTATGATAACAGTATGTGTCATCTTTCTCCTCCCTAAAAGGGTGCTTCAATCATGTTGTAAGGCATAGTCTATACGCATCTTCCATTAAGAAGAAAAATTGATGTGTTTCCTTATGTCTCTCTTCTAAACTCTCTCTTCTCTTCTGAAAGCTTGATTCAATAACATTTTACTTTTGTCATGCCTAGATTTGCTCTACTTTTGCCTCTTTGAGAAACTATGCATCAAAAAGAATCTAAGCGCAATCCATGAGTGTGAGCCATGTCCCTACACTTAAAGATCCATGGGTTAATATATCAAGGGATTGATGATCTTAAAGTGGCCGTGTTTGCCTAGAAGTGGTGTTGAGAGGCCTTACCTAAATCGATATTATCCTAAGAGCCAGAGACACAATGATCTCTAGGTCTATAGCACATGACCCACCCCGTGCATCTCAATTTCACTTGTCCATTACGCTTCCTTATTCTCACATTGCTCACACAACACACAAACACGTTTTCAACTATTTCTTGAGTCCAATTTGGAGTAAATGAGAGAGAATTCAAATCTGATTTCACCATTCACCTTGTAATCACCGTCTCATTATTCTTCTTCATCAATTTTGTCTATCTTCTCTCTTCATCCTCTCTCCCCCCCCTCAGCCATATCTCCTCCAATCCTTCACCAATCTCAAAACCAAATATACCACTCAATTTCTCTCAATGTCCACACAAAACCATCCTTAAAATCATCTCAATTTGTGATCATTCATGCTAGCCAATTCTCCTCCTTCCTTTCTCTACATGGATGAAGCTTTGGAGCATAAATTGACACCTATTGGAGCATAAATTCAATGCATGGCTAGCTTTCTTGGTTCTACCAAGTGGGAGACTACGCTCATGAACTTCAATTTTATAAAGCTTTCCTAATTAAACTCTTTTTGATTCCATATATATTAAACTATTCACTCCATGGACTGATTTAAGAAAGACATTCTAAGCTGTAGTTGCTAGAAAGTATTTCTCTAAGAATGTCTTTCTTAAATCAATCCATAAGGTGTAAACTATATAAGATGGTAATATTCTAAACCAATCCTTAGCTGCCATTTGTAGAGTTAGGTGAAACACTCTCTAGATGACATCATCTACTTGAACCCCCCATGTCTCATTCTAGCACATGTCATTTGAAGACCCTAAAGATGATTATTAGGTTCCTTTCCAGCTAACCCATGAAATTTAGACAAAGAATTAAGCAAGGAAGGTTTAACTTCAATGGTCTAATTGTTAGGAAAGACTACTCCAAACTCCTCATAGTTAAAGTTTAAAGTGGTTCCCCCCCCCCCTCTCTCTCTCTCTCTCTTTAAAATAGACCTAATATATTGCACATTCTCATTGTGTTTCTCACCATTTCTATAATTATTCCTATTATTTCCAAGAATTTCAGCATTCATATCACGGTTCTCCTCAACCGTCTGATTGTTAGAAAAGACTGCTCCAAACCTCTCATAGTTAAAGTTTGAAGTCTCTCTCTCTCTCTCTCTCTCTCTCTCTATATATATATATAATAGACCTACTATCTTGCACATTCTCATTATGTTTCTCACCATTTCTATTATTATTTCTATTATTTCCTAGAATTTCAGCATTCACATCACGATTCTCCTCAACCATATTTTTCAAAACAACAGTAATCAACAAATTCAAGTTTAGGATTATCAACAGATTATGGAAGTAGAATTGCAATTCTCAAGCCTAAACTTTAATTCCTCAAGGACCTTTGTATATGCTAAAATTAATTTTCTCAAATTTATCACTGGACATACAATCTTCAATAATCAAGAGAGTCAAACAATCCACTCAAGCACACAAAAAAATTCGAGTAAATTGAATATAATGCTTCAAGACTTCTAAAAATTCCAGAAAAATTAAACCCAAGCAAATTAATTTGTAATATCCTAAGTCTAAAATTATACTATCTAAATGAAGCTAATTGAAATCAAAAAGGCAAGTACCCAACTCAAACAGTGGAAAAAAAATTGAATTTGCAAAAAATTGGAAAAATGCAAAAAATACTAAAAATTCGGGAAAAAATAGGGTAAATGACGGGCTTTTGACCAAAACAGGGGAGGCCAAATAGCAAAAACTATTACTTTTGCTCGGAAGGTCAAAAACATTGGGACTGGAATTTTTCAGAATTTTATAGACAAGAACCTAAAATTTTCAAATAGTCAACCCGAAAAGTCAAACTGCAAGCCAGCAAACACATATCAACCAAAACAAAAGCAATTAATTTAAGAGAATCAATTTAAACAAAACCTAATACAATCAAAACAAGAGAACAAAGTGGTCCTCAACAACGATGCCGAAAATTTGAAAAGTCTTAATCGTGTCAAATGCAAATTTAAACAAGGAACCACTATATAGTATAGTACCAACTAGGATCGTCTCTGGCGTAAACCCTTTGTGTTTTGTTTCAATTGAATTAAGGCAATAAACAATAAGTTTCCAAAATGTCCAAAATACCTTAGATAAATGCCAAAAACCGAGGGAAAAAAGGAATGAAAAGATGTAACAATTTTGGTTTATCACCATTCAAAGTTGTGATCTCTGCCTTCATAGCAATCCCTGGGAAGCCCAATCATGCGTCTTCAATTTAGAACCAAAATGCAATCCATCATCACTTCAACGCCTGGAGTTACCAACCAAAGATCCTCCACCATCACGATATTGTCAAAATCACATTCATCGTTATTCAGTGCGCAATCCTGGCAGTAAGAACTCTCCTCCAAACCATCAAAACTCCTTGACCCCATATTGCCACCAGATATCACAAACGCACTCACCTAAACCCACATACAAACTAAAACCCACCCCAAGACAAATCCCTCCTCGAACTCAGAATGCTCCAAGTAGAAACCTCCCAATAAGTGGACTCCCAGTGAGGAGGACTCCCACGATGGGGAGAGCCCCGAAAAGAGGTTGCCTATGCAACAAAGTGAAGTGAAAAGGAAAGCTCTAGCAAGGCGAGGCCCATTTATTTAAGATAAAAAAATGATTTTTAGATAATTTACAAATTTTATGAAATGAGGTTTATTTTGTAGATATTTTATTAAAAAAACAAACATTATTTTATATTTAGTTACAATAATCAAAAGTGATTATTATTTAGTTATGTTTAGATTTTACAATATCTTCATGGATCTCTATTCATAAAAAAATCATTTATTTTTACTCATTTTAAAATTTTATCATAGCTTTGAGTGTCTTCGCATTGTTATAGAATTCACTCTAACCTAATGTATCATATTATTCTTAGAAGTTATTCAAATTAACTCATCAAAATAATTAGACATCTGCCTTTTTTCAGATTTTGATTATTTTAAAAAGTTAAACGAGCATCATAAAATTTCACTAAATAATTTTTTCAAAAAAAAAAAGTCCTCTTTTCATTGAAAAGAAGAAGAAACAAAATGGGCCCTAAATAGGCTTACATAATAGGCTTTAGAACTATTAAAGCCTACCTATGCACAACTTGATTAATCAACTAAAATACATAATAAGCAATAGAACTTGTAAGCTACAGTAGCAACATTGAAATTAATACATAAGTTCAATTTATTTGAAAATATAACCAAGAAACTAGAAATAAAATAGAACAATTTGATTAAAAATCAAATGGTAAAATGGATATATCATCAACTTATCAAACAAAAGCTAATTAAAAAAAAACACAGGCCAGAAAGAACCTGTCTAGTGCTTTCAAGTTTTGTTTCAAAGGAAGAATGAGAAGAAAGGAGCCAAAGAAAGGGTTCCAAATTCCTAAATTAAATATTATATATATTATACATTACATATTATACATATGTACTATATTAATAATATATATGCAAATAAACTGATGCATAAGACTAGTAGGCTTTTACATATTATACATATGTACTATATTATGTAATAATATATATATATATATGTAAATAAACTGATGCATAGGGCTAGTAGGCTAAGCTTTATAAAAATAGTGTCTATTTAGCAAAAAGAGCCTAACAGAGGCTTGAACCTGACATGACCTATTTAGTAAATAAGTCATGTCAGGCTTAAAGTAGGTCAAGTTGTAGGCCCCTGATAGGACACCTAGTCCTTCCACCCCTAATTATACCTCATGTATAACTTCACTACCAAATCACAACCCATTCACTAGGGTCCCTCTACAAATGATATTCCTTCTGGTTTTAAATCTAGAGCAATTGAGAAGTTTATTTTAGTCTTAAATATAAGACATCAATTTTCTCTTTCTCCCATGTTTATTTTATTTTTTCAAATATGTACAATCAATAGGATAGTGTTCAATATAAATGACTAAAAGAAGGAGTATTTTAGGAAACCAACACACTTTTCTTTTTAACAAATAACAAGCTTAAAAAGATTTCTTATTATGTGTGAATCATCATCTAGCTTCTGCATTTATGAAGGTAGAATGTTATTATTCCCTTCAATTCTAAATGTAAGAGCTAGTTAGAGAATTTGTTCTAGCCTTGAATTTATGACCTTAATTTTCTTTGTCTTCCATATCTAATTTATTATTTTTTTTCTCAAACTATCCCTATGGTTTGATTCATGTATGATACATAAGTTACATTGAGTAAATGATTAAAGGCCTTAAGGAAAACTTTAACACATTTTTTTTTTCAAATAACTAACTTCTTCCCTATTTAATTTTCTTAATCAGAATAAATATCCTACATCTAGAATCACAAGGACTACCAGAAAATACTAGTTCACTATTCTCAATTTTGTAAAAACAATCATACCTCTCTAATTCCACGATCTATCACTGCCAAGTAAGCTTCTGCACAACTATTGAAGAAAGGGGATTGCTTATTTAACCCGAAGCAAGGAACAAGGTTTGAGTTTTACACGACGTTCAGGGTAATTTTCATGGCTTTCTAATGAACTCCTTTTATTTCCTCTCAACTTTTCATCACATAAAGAGAATGAGTTAATAGGGTTAATACTAGATTGGCACGCATTGTAACTTCTGTTATCTAGTATTCCTCTGCAATGCAACCAAACATAAAACTTAATTGTAACATTCCGTGACTCCAGAAAAGAGAAAACCCCAAATATTATAGAAGCAACCCAGGCAGAAGCTCGTCCTCTAGCTCATTGATTTCAGGACCATACAACTGGAAAATAGAAAATAGAGTACTGCAAGCTTCAAAGGGATTCATTTCACCGATATAATTCAGACAATGAAATAATGCAAGTAACTGTCTCACTGATGTGTGTGTGGGTGTGTATGGTGGCGAAGAGATCCAATGGGGCTTGAAACTACAAAAAGATCAGTTGATCTCGTCCTAGCCCAAAACTTCATCTCATCACTTTATACTAATATGTGACTGTGAGATTTCTACGCTTATTCCTACATCAACTAATGTTTTGACAGGTTTCTTCATCATTTCAATTGATAACATTTCATGGAGTACGATAGTAGACTGATAGTAAATGAAGCCTGGTTGTTAAGTATTAATGCAATGCGTTCTGGAATCATGAGTGGATCAGAGAAATTTCATTTGCTAACAAATTCACGCACGGCATAAATTTGAAACTATGGGAACAAGACGAACAAACAAGAATGCAATTCAAAAATTATCAACCAAGCATATAAACTGTACAGTTCAAGATTTCAAAACGAAAGCCGAAAATTGGAATTGACAATCAACCAACCAAAAAAAAAATTAAATTATTAACTAATACATAGCCAAACTCCCAAAATGATAACAGCCGTACCATACAAAGCTCGAGGGACGTGGGTTTCTTCGCCAAGTAGCATACCAAACACGGCGGTGGCGGCAAATGTTGTCGCATTGGTGACGGGGACAACCAGCGATATCGGGGCGTCACTGAGAATAGCAAAGAAAGTAGCAGAGGCAGAGAGATTAATCAAGAAGGGGATAGTGTACTGCCAGATCGAGAGAAGCTTGAGCCAATTTCCCAGAGAAAAAAGACATCTCTGGGGAAGAGTTGTACAGTGCCGAGGTGGCTTCGATGAGGACGAAGATTTGAGAGCGTGATCCCAAATAAGAGCACCACGGCGCATGATAGCATTTGTCGCGCCCCATACGAGGCCCACTGCGATCATCTTCTCTATATCCCCTACCATCCCTCTCGCTTCCCCCATCTCTCTCGCTCGCTCGATGGTCTTCACTCTTCAAGACAAGAACTCATCAGGATAATCAAAGTTTCGCCGGTGCAGATGATTGGACAGAGAATCTAGGTTTATGGGCTCAAAGTTGGGTCAATCTGTGGCCCATGTATGAAGAACTAATTACCATGCCCATTTCTGTAAGCACGCCTTGCTCTTTCTTCATCATTTACATAGGTATTCACAATTGACAATGATTTGGAGCACCAACAAAGGTTAGTTCCAGTAATAAGCAACTCAATTTTGCTCAAAGAAGATCTTAAATTTAAGCCTTATGTATACAGGAAAACCTCTAGATACCAGGTGGGCAACCAAAGAAAAAAAAAGACAATAATTTATTTCTTGTTTGAAAACACTTTAAAAATTGATTTTAGTCACAAAATTGTGGTCTTAAAAATTTTTACCCAAACACTTCAAGTTTCCAAAATCCCATTTAACTTCCCAAACACCATTTCAGCAAAGCAAAATTGTTCCATTCTAAAAGTCAATTAGGACCATTATTCATTTATTGCAGCATCAGATGGTAGAGTAAAAATCACTACTACAAAAAGGTATATAATTGACACCCTATAATTGACGTTTATTTGAAAAAAACGACAAATAAGAAAGGCGGAGAATACTTGATGGTTTTTATGAAACAAGCGTCAAATATTTAAATAAATACTTGACCGTTATTTAAAGATAACCGTCAAGTATATATATTTGACGTTTTTTATAAATAACCGTCATATAAAGCTAAAATTTACACGTCGGTCTTCAATAAACAAATGTCAAATTAATAGTAGAAAAAAAATTAAATTTTTTTTACATACTTGACGCTTGTTTTGAAATAACCGTCAAGTTTGTCTGCTATATACTTGACGGTTGTTTTAAAACAAGCGTCAAAATAACCGTCAAGTATTGTCATTTAAATTCCCTCCAGATTTCTTTTTTGCTCTCCATTTCTGCAAATCCTTCGTCTTCAGAAACAAACCCAGAGCCACCGAAACCCATTTTTTGTCACTCTAACTGCCAAAAAACACATTTTCAGTCTCGATTCTTGAGGGGTTTTTGATTCTCGGCCTCCATAAGTCTCGTGGGCACTCGTTCGTTTGGATTCTCGGTCTCTATCACTCGGCAACAGACTCTCGTCTCTGTTTTTCTGCACAGTCGGTGTTCCCTCTTCTTGTTGAGGTAGGTTCCTGCTTTCCCAATCATTAATCTTCATTTTGAATGTATAGGTTGTTGATTTTGATTTTCATACGTAATAAATAATTTTTGTGTTATTTATTTTGATCTGCATTGTTGTTCTTCCCAGTGAGTGTTTGAAGTTTTAAGTTTTTGGGTACTTAATTATTGAATTAAGGGATCATCCAATTATTTTGTTGATATGAGGAAATTCATTAAGGATATGAAAATAGTATACCACCTAATTACCTTATTTTTAATATTTTTGATATTTTAAATTGATATTTATATAGTGTTTGATGTGGTTTAATATGATTTTAATTAAAATTAAGTTTCTTATTAATGTTGTTATTATTGTTGTAGGATCATATATAGTCTCATTATGGATAACTTGATTTTTTTAAAGGCATAAAGACCTGGTAATACTCATTTTAAGCCGTAATATATACTATTAATTTTTTTAAATTATTCTTGAATATAACTTTATGTGTTTGTTGTTGTGGATACTGTTGTTGTTGTCATTTATATTAATAGGAAGAGGGGATAAGGCCCGGGAAACTCTCTTTTTTAAGTTGTTATGCTGCCAAAATTATTTCAATGGCTAGCATTAAAATATAATTATTAGTTTTAAACAAGATTAAAGAAGGAATGTGCAAACATGTGGTTAGTGACTTATTGACTAATTGATCTTTGTATCTAATTCTCCCACTATCTAGGAGTAGTCAAAGTCACTAATCATATTTCCCTCTTAATCTTTCTAGGAATTATGGATAAAGAATGGATGTCTGTCAATCGTCTATCCAAGGAATATTGGGATGGGGTGGCAAATTTTGTTAAGCTTGCAGTTAAGCATGCAGAGGATCCTACTAGGATTGTTTGCCCATGTTTAAAGTGTGGTCTTGTGAAGCGGGTTAGTCCAGATACTTGTGAAGAACACCTAGTGATTAATGGGATGGATCAAAGTTACAAGTGTTGGACAATGCATGGAGAGACAAGAGATAATATTAGTTGCAGCCAGAAGCATAGTGAAAGCTGTGCATCATCTCCTGATGATTTTGACACATACACACTTGAGGAAGATTGTCTTGAACAGATGGCTAAAGCAGTTGAAGAAGACCTCGAGGATTATCCGAAAATGTTTGAGAAGTTGAAAAGTGATGCGGAGACACCGTTGTATGCTGGTTGTAGTGCATCAAAGTTGTCAGCAGTGTTAAAATTGTACAACATGAAGGCAAAACATGGATGGAGTGATGCAAGCTTTACTGAGTTGCTTGGGTATTTGAAAGTAGAATTACTTCCTAAGGAAAATGAGCTTCCTTATCGAACATATGACGCAAAACAAGTATTGCGATCAATCGGCATGAGTTATGAAAAGATACACTCGTGCCTTAATGATTGCCTTTTATTTCGAAATGAATATGTGTCGTTAACCGAGTGTCTGAAGTGTAATGCCTCACGCTACAAGCAGAACGGATTAAGTCCCGCGAAGGCACTATGGTATTTTCCAATCGTGCCTAGATTTAGACGCATGTATAGCAATGCAAAAATTGTGAAAAACTTAACATGGCATGCGGATGAAAGGATAAAAGATGGCATGCTTTGTCATCCTGTTGATTCTCCACAATGGAGAAAGATTGGTTATGAGTATCCTGAATTTGGGGAAGAGAGTAGGAATCTACGCCTTGCATTGTCTACCGACGGGATGAATCCTCATGGGATTCAAAGTAGTAGCCACAGCACTTGGCCAGTCATTTTAGTGATTTATAACCTTCCTCCATGGCTTTGCATGAAGCGCAAGTATATGATGTTGTCCATGCTAATTGCGGGACCCAAGCAACCTGGGAATGACATAGACATATATTTGGCTTCTCTAATTGATGACTTGAAGATCATGTGGGAGTCAGGTATAGAGGTATATGATGGGTATAGAGAAGAAAGATTTAATTTAAGAGCTATGCTCTTCGGTACAATCAATGACTTTCCTGCTTATAGCAATCTGTCAGGGTATAGCATTAAAGGGCAACTTGGATGCCCTATTTGTGAAGAGGGAACACATTCTATGAGGCTTCAGCATGGGATGAAGAATGTTTACCTTGGCCACCATAGGTTTTTACACCAAGAACATCGTTATTGGCAGTTGAGAAAAGCGTTCAATGGAAATCCAGAAGAAGGTAAGACACCTTTACCGTTAACTGGTGATGAGTTGTTTGAGAAGATTAAGGATTTGGATATTGAATTTGGCAAACCATTTGCAAGGCACCTTGGGATAACCGGATGGAAGAAGAGATCTATTTTCTTTGAACTCCCTTATTGGACCACCTTGGATGTTCGGCATTTTTTTGATGTCATGCATATTGAAAAAAATGTCTGTGAGAGTCTTATTGGGACTTTACTCCAAGTGTCAAGAAAAAAAAAGATGGCATAAAAGTAAGGTTGGACATGGTCTCTTTAGGAATAAGAGAAGAATTAGCACCCCAAGATAAAGGGAACCGTACCTTTCTCCCTCCGGCAGCTTATACGCTATCTAAGAAACAGAAAACTGCATTTTGTGAGTTCCTTAATGTAGTTAAAGTTCCTGAGGGTTACTCTTCAAATATAAAAAATATTGTATCAATGAAAGATTTAAAGTTGAAAGGCTTAAAGTCTCACGATTGCCATGTTTTAATGGAGGATTTCATTCCAGTTGCTATACGTGCAATTTTACCCCCTAAAGTACGAGGGGCGATCACTAAGTTATTTTGTTTTTCAAGTCCATTTGCATAAGTTGCCAAGGTTGCAAGCTCGAATTGTATTAACACTGTGTGAGCTTGAGATGTATTTTCCACCGCCATTCTTTGATATTATGATCCACCTAACTGTTCACTTAGTTAGGGAGGTTTAAATATGCGGGCCTGCTTATTTAAGATGGATGTATCCTATTGAGCGCTATATGAAGATTTTGAAAGGCTATGTGAAAAATCGAAGTCGACCGGAGGGTTGTATTGTTGAACGGTATATTTGTGAAGAGGCTATTGACTTTTGTACTGAATACCTGAGTCATATTAGCTATGTTGGGCTTCTAAAGTCTCGACATATGGGTAGAATAAGTGGAGAGGGGATCATGGGAAGCAAAGTCATTACTATGTCAAGTGTACAGTGGGAGCAAGCCCACTTATATGTGTTGCACAACACTGAAGAGATTGAAGAGTATGTAGACAAGCATATGGCTGAACTTAGGAGGGACAATCTCAATAAATCAGAAATTTGGTATGCTAGGGAACACAACAAAACTTTTACAAGATGCTTTAAGGAGCACATTCTTCAAAAGTTAAATGTTAATTCCAATTCAGTTTCTAACAAATTAAGATAGTTAGCCAACGGTCCAAGCAAACAAGCCATTTCTTACACTGCTTACCTTGTCAACGGATACACATTTTATATAAGGGAGCAAGATGATAGGAGCACAATGCAAAATAATGGTGTAACTCTTGTAACTTATTCCATGCATATTTCCAGTACTAAGGATAAAAATCCTTCTATGCAAACATGTCATACTTTGGTGTAATTTAGCATATATGGGATTTAGATTACATATCCTTTCGAGTTCCAGTCTTTGGGTGCAAGTGGATTGATCAAAAAAATGGCTTGAAATTTGATTACCAATTTGGCTTTGTACAAGTCAATTTAAACAAGGAAGGGTATAAGGATGAGCCTTTTATTTTAGCGCAACAAGCCAAACAAGTGTTTTATATCCCTGACCCTGCTAATAAGGGGTGCTCTATTCTTATGTTACATGAAAAAATAAATGAAAATGTAGCAATTGAAGATGACCCATTCGAAGGGACATCAAATTAAAGTAACGACACTGCTGATGAAGCTCTATACATGAGAAATGATTACAATGAAGGCATTTGGATTTCAAAGAGGGGTAAATTATTTCAGCATAAGAAGAAAATATTTCAAGGAGGGGGAAGTAAAAAACCCAAGTCAAGGAAACAAAAAAGAGCAACTTGAACATGTAACCTTTAAATTAATTATGCCATTTTTGTT